GGCCTACCGGAAGCTTCCTGGACTGGACGCAGGCAGGCCACTTCGATATAGGGAAGGGCCTGCCTCCTCATTCGGTATTCGGGTGCTGGCTGCATGCTGCACGAGCGCTGCTGCGCTATTTGCTGGTTGGCTGGCACTCACGCTCTCACGGGCGAGCAAGAAGGAGCGGGCAGCCATAGCCGAGCTGCTTCGCTATGAGCTGGGTGTGACGCAGGGTGGTCCTTGGGTGCAAGTGGCATCTGTGCGGTGTGGATCGGGGTTGTGAGTGTTGCGAGAGATATGCCTGGTGCTGGAAGCGTGCGGCATTGTCCGCTGTATGCTCGTACTTCAGGGAGCTGTTGTTGTCAACATCGGCATTGTAGTATTAGGCTAGATAGGATCTCCCACAAGTAGTCTGGGCGCCGAGCGCCAATAGGATATCAACTMTTGTTCTTCGTTGATGATGATGAGAGACTATTTCAGCATTGTCAATTACGAACTATTGGTGTGTTCTGATTTGGTGAATCTCGTGATGCATGATTGCTGTTGGTTCGAGGTCAAGACTATCTGGACACATATGTACGATGCTGTTTGATTGCTGGAGTTCACTAATGCTCATCTTCCTTGCAATTTGGTATCAGAGCTGTGGTACGATTGCGCTCATCTGGCGCTTGTCACTTTCCTCAGGCGGTACATACGTGCGGGTTGCTATGTGAGTGGGTTGTGATTGGTGTGTAGTGAGGAGGGGAAGTGACGAGTATTGGCGACCCAAGTGTTGAGGGGCATCGCCTGGAAGGCTACGTGTAAATATTGGGTGTTCACAGTGTGATGAGAACTATTTGTTGGGTGATTGAGGCTGAGGTGGAACGGCGAAATGCTGGTTGTGCCGATGCTGTGACTGGTCATCGCAATCATCTTCAGGTCATCTGGTGAGAYTATCTCTGTGGTTGGGGGCAGCATGAACGAGGTACGTTGCTCTTAACCTTATCTACCCTCTTCATCACTTCTTACCGTGAGGTTGTGAGTTTTGTCTTGAGAGTCCTCTCATCGTGAGGTGTCGTGTGCGCTCAACCTTGAGAGTCGTGATTGTTCACGTTGAGCATCTGGGGGAAGACGGGCGGAGCTTCTTGAAGGGCTCTGGACGAAGCATTGGGTCACGGTCACCATGCCAACCCACTGGGTTTAGTACACGCATCGTGATGCATGCTTCGCTGCAAGTCTTTGGTTCAGCTGCTTGCGCATGATAGGGGTTAACTCGAGTGTGGCAGCCTCTACAGACGCTTACCAGACCGTCTATAAACATTTCTGGCTAGGGACTCGGCTCTGGTCTGGCTGTGATCGTCGTCCTGCTGCGACATAAAATAATTCATGATGTCACTTGGGGGCAAACGTTAAATTGTCTCTTGATCAGCCAGATCATCCGAGTGGAAGGCTCGTCGGCGTACGAGGGTAAATAAGAGTGTTGTGGCTGCCTTGCTCGACGATAACCCGGGGCACAAGGGTGGGACCGGATTGCACACCTTCAGACACGCTTGACTTCAGATGCTTAGGGACGTGACACCGTGACATTGAGAAGAACTGTGGGAGGGGTGGGTTCCAGGTGATAAGTTCGGGAATAAATTCCATGCTATGAACAGACCCAGTCAGTCAACATTATTTTTATTTTGATTAGTTAGATGGACAACCATGTGACATCTGACAGACAGCATTAGTTTAGAATAATGTTTATTCCTGATGCTTCCTCTGTTTGAGAACTAATCTTACTAAAAATAGTATTGACGGTAGGAATCTGACTTACCTGTTGACCCCAAATGAGGTCTGTTCCAAAAATAGCCACCACTAAATAGTTGATCTGTGCACTATGTTGCGGTAGGCATCTAGAATGATCTAGTGTAGACATTGCACAATGTTGTAGTCCATGAGCGACAGTGAGGACACCGGAGAGGACGACCGCAGGATCTTGCGATCAGCTAGAGGCCTGATAACTCACGTGTCCCTAGGACCGGGGGGTGATAGGGAACTGTTCCGTCGGCAGCGGGAGAGGCAGCAGTAGAGGAGAGCTACAGCAGCCGAGGCCAGCAGAGCATTAGCTAGCGAGGCCGATGCTACAACAGCCATGGCTACCACAGCCATGAGCACGTCTGCGCAGCAGACTTTCCCAGCCGGTAGTTCAGGTACCGCCAGGTCTACGGTCGCGCAGACCGTGAGTCAGTCCACTGGCTTGATGGCAAGCCAGCCCACGGTGTTGACCCCAGAGGATGTCGCCATCCAGCAGGCAGCCCTGCAGGAGGCACAGCTACAGCAGGCATTAGGACAGATAAAAAGGGAAAAAGAGATGATGATTAGAAGAAGAACCAGGATGCAACAGAGAGGGGCAGACATAGAGGAGTTAGAGACGATGGACCTGATGCATATGGATGATGATGTGAAGGTAGTTAGGAGGGCCCTGCTAGGCGTAATTGAGATGCAAGAGCATCAAACTACCATCCTTCAGGACATTCAACAAAGCCTAGCCGTGTTGGCAGGCCGTGCTCAGGCAGCACCATCACCAGCCGGGCCTGGTGCCTGGCCCGTGCCATATCCTCCTTTTTCTGTCCCACCGGTGACTAGGGTATCCCCATATGTAGCCCCGTCATCGGTTGTTATCGTTTCCCTGGGCATGCCTCTGTTAGGAGGGGTAACAACAGGGAGTAGTTTATAGGCTCCTGTACAGACAGTGTTTACTCCAAGTCCGTCACAGGTTGCAGTCACCACGCAGCCTGCTGTCTCGCAGCCAGTGCAGCCTCAGGGCTCACAGCCCCAGCAGCTAGCACAGCAACCTCACCGGGTCCACAGCCTGGAATGATGCAGGGACCGGGACAGACACAGTGGGTTCCAAAGACGGCCATCGCCGCTCCCAAACCTTTTACAGGGGACAAGAAAGGCGAGGACCTCGACACATGGTTGAGGGAAGTGCCGGTCTACGTCAGGTGCAAACTCACCTTGCCGCACGAAGAAGTGCTTGTGGCTGTCTCCTACCTCGAGGGTAGTGCAGCAAGATGGTTGAGTGGTCTAGTACAACTTCAGGGATACGGTCATGACTTCCGCGCTTGGGCGGCCTCCCAGAAATTGGAGGACTTCCCGAAGATGGTGGAAGAGAGGTGGCATGATCCTCAGGAGGCTCAAAGGGCCACTGATGCGATCCTGACACTGCACACACGGCAGTTTAAGTCAGTAAGGGAAGCCACCGATGCTGTTGAGCGTTTGATCTGTGTCCCAGGGGTACGCTATGATCCTCAGGTCCTGTTGACTTCGTACATGAGATGTTTTTCACAGCCTCTCAGGAACCAGATGGCAAAAGAGGCCAACATCAATATGCACAACTTTCCTTCGTTTAGCAAGGTGGCCCTAGACCTGGAAGCAAAGATAGGGCATGGACAGGCACCCACTACGGAGGGGAGAAAGAAGACACTGCCTCCCAACTGGAAGGCGAAGGGTCGCTTAATGTTTGTCGACAACGATGGTTCAACCATCGAGTTGGAGGGCAACTTCCAGGAAGGAATAGGTGCAGAGGCAGGTGGCGAAACTTCAGAGGGTGGAGTAGTGACCGCCGTAACCCAACAAAAAGTTAAGGGGACCGGTAGACGCAGAGGAGGCTCCCGATCTAGGAATCAGGTTGACCCCAATGGTCCTCCATGGGAGAAAGCGGGTCTTTCAGAGGACGTGTGGAGAGATCGGTGGAGCCGATAGGCCTGCATTTGTTGTGGTCAATACGGCCATAACCAGTTCAAATGTAGGAACAAAAAGGTCAGCGATAAGATCCCGCCTACTATGGGGCAGGCGGTAGGATCCTCATCTCCCGTAGGTAGCAATGTTGCCAGTTCGTCAGGCACTGCTCCGGGAAACACGTCAGGCCAATAGGAATAGTAGTTGTTCCTACTAGGGACGAAGTGGTGGAGACACCCTCGCCATCTCGCATCATGGCCCAAGCTACTGATTCCCTTGTCGTCCCGCAAACGCATTCAGACCCATCGACCCTTTGCTTGATGAATGTGTTTGAGTCCCTAGAAGAGCTAGAGGAGGAGTGGTCTAGATTAGACCCGCTAGCTTCTTGGACAGCACTAGCTAAAGCCCCGAAGGGTGAGATGTTCGTCAGCGAGATAGTCGTAGGCGGTCGCAAGGCCGGGGCCTATTATGACACTTGCTCGACACAAAACTTCATTAGTCGCGCGTGCATTGAGAGGCTGCGTTTACAGGGGCAAGTGCAGCGCCTGAGTCGACCTGTGGAGTCGACCTGTGCCAACAAACAGCGCATGGTAGTAAATGACTACCTTCAGGATGTTGAGTGCCTGTTCCCGTATGTGGGAGGGGAATTGAGGCATCGTGTCTCATTCTTAGTGAGCGACGATCTCCCAATGGATATCTTGTTAGGTATGTACTACCTCTCGGTTGCACTGCCCCAGTTTGACCAGGACCGAAAAATGGTCAAACACACTTTGCCAGGTGGAGGGACCACCAGATTACACAAGTTCAAAGCTAGTAGTCTGATTGAGTCCTACGGGTGCTTGTGTGCGGCCGCATTCTATAATTATTATAAGCAAAATCAGGAGGAGGGTATGTACTTAGTATATGTCTCTGCTGCAGGCGAGCCGGTGAAAATGCCGTCGGAGATAGAGGGAGTAGTTGCCAAGTACCCTGATCTATTTGAAGAGCCAACAGGGGTTGTTGATAGGGAGGTCGTCCACGCGATAGAGATTATCCCAGCCTCCCGGGGTCTAGTATTCCGAAGGGTAGGATCTATCGGATGTCTCCAGGCGAGCTTTATGAGCTTCGCCGCCAACTCAAGGAACTCATAGAGAAGGGTTGGATCCGGCCGAGTGTCTCTCCTTACGGATCTCCAGTACTATTCATATCTAAGAAGAAGGAGGGCACTCTCAATGTGCATTGACTATAGCGGCCTTAATGTCATCACTGTGAAGAACAGAGAGCCCCTACCGCGCATCGATGATCTGTTAGATAGAGTGCAAGGGTGTTGGTACTTCAGTAAGATAGATCTGAAGTCCGGGTACCATCAGATTGCAATCCGGCCCGAGGATCAACACAAAACCGCATTTCAGACCAGGTATGGTCTGTACGAGTTTCTGGTGATGCCTTTTGGCCTTTGCAATGCTCCTGGCACCTTTCAGCACGCTATGAATCGGATATTCCATGACTACTTGGATAAGTTTGTCGTCGTGTACCTCGATGACATACTTATTTTTAGTAAGACTGTCGAGGAGCACGTAGCACACTTAGACAAAGTTCTCAGTCTCCTGCGACAGCACAAGTTCAAGATCAACGGTGAAATGTGCGAGTTTGGCCGCACCCGTATCTTGTACTTGGGTCATGAGATCTCCGCGGAAGGGTTGAAGCCCGATGACGCAAAGGTGGCCAACATTCGGGATTGGCCACAACCTCAGTCTGTGACTGAGATGAGATCTTTCAAAGGAATGACCGGTTACTATAGGACTTTCGTTCAGAACTATAGCATAGTGACCACTCATTTGACTGATCTGACTCACCTTGACACCCCGTGGGAGTGGACAGATAAGTGCGAGGCTGCTTTCAGACATCTGAAGCATGCATTGACGCACTACGAGGTCTTGAAGCTTCCCGATCCTGACAAACCATTCATAGTCACCACGGATGCTAGCCAATACGGCATTGGCGCCGTGCTTGCACAACAGGAGGGGCCAAAGTTGAGGCATGTTGAGTACATGTCCAAAAAAATGTCGTCTCAAAAGTTGGCCAAGTCCACCTATGAGAAGGAACTCTATGTCGTTTACAAGGCTTTGACCCATTGCAGACACTATCTCCTTGGGAGGTTCTTCATCCTCAGGACTGATCATCAGACCCTAAGATGGATGAGAACTCAGCCTGTACTCTCTGACGCCCTCAAGCGTTGGATTGAAGTCATTGAGCAATATGACTTTGACCCTCAGTTTCTGAAAGGGGAGTACAACAAGGTTGCTGATGCTTTGTCGCGTAGACCTGATTTCTCTGGTGCGCTGATTACTGAGTTCGATCTGACGGACAACGTTACTCAGTCTTTGGTGGAGGCCTATCAAGAAGACCAGTTTATGTCAGAGATCATCCGCAGACCCGAAGCGAAGGACAAACGAACTTCAGCTGAGTTTGAAATGGTCAATGGCTTGTTGTTTCTCGAGAAGGAGGGGAATAAACAATTATGTGTCCCTAGTAGTGAGTCTTTGCGTAGTTTGTTTTTAGGAGAGTGTCATGATGCCACCGGCCATTTCGGGTTCAAAAAGACTGCAGCCAATTTGCTGCAGAGGTTTTGGTGGCCCACGATGATGAAAGATGCCAAGTTGTATGTGGAGACCTGTCAAGTTTGCCAACGAGACAAGCCCCGTACTCAGGCTCCTCTTGGGCTGATCAAGCCCCTTCCGATTCCGGAGAGGCCGGGTGAGAGCCTGTCCATGGACTTCATGGATACGCTAGTCACGAGCAAGAGTGGGATGAGACAGATCTTTGTCATCGTGGATAGGTTTAGTAAGTTTGCTAGGTTAGTAGCAATGCCTGAGACAACAAAGACTGAGTACGTGATTAAGCTGTTCAAAGAAAACTGGGTGAGAGATTTAGGATTGCCCAAGTCTATTGTGAGCGACCGAGATGTCAGGTTCACAAGCGAGTTATGGAAGGCCGCTGCAGCCGAACAGGGAACTCAACTGCAGATGACTTCTGGGAATCATCCCGAAGCCAACGGCCAGGCCGAACAGATGAACCGCGCTGTGCAACACCTGTTGAGGTATTATATCAAGCCCAACCAGGTAGACTGGGACGAAAAGCTCGCACTTGTCGCCAGTCTGTACGATAACGCTGTACACAGCGCTACAGGGGTGAGTCCTAACAGTCTACAACTAACGTTCAAGCCGAAACTGCCCTTAGACTTCCTACTTTTTGACAACCAGCCAACTGCTGCACCAGGCACTCTAGAGTTTGCTTACCGATATGAACAGAAGATGCAGGAGGCTGTAGAGCACATGCAGAAGGCGCAGGCAGCAATGATAGAATCTGAGAATAAACACCGCCGCCCTTCTACATTTCAGGTTGGGGACAGAGTCTGGGTCAAGTCTTCGGAATTGGGACAGGAGTTCGGGATATCCCGCAAACCCATACCTCAGTACTTTGGACCTTGGGAAGTTTTAGACGTAGTAGGGACAGATCCTGATGGTCCATCATATGTCATCCGTATCCCTGGTCATCTCAGAACTTACCCAGTCTTTCACGCCTCTAAGCTCGCTGCGTTCAAGGAAACTGATCAGTTCCCCTCTCGTCGATCAATGCTGCCCCCAACCATGGACGGAGAAGTCGACATCGATGATATCGTTGACCACAGGGAGATGCCTGTTCAGAAGCCTCCACGAAGGGGACGTCCTCCAAACCCAAAGCTGCAGTTTCGTGTCCACTTCAGGCATCACACAGATCCGAAGGAGGACCGCTGGTTTACTCGGGAGGAATTGATGCAGACCGCTCCTCAAATCGTTGCCCGCTATGAGAAGGATGTATTGAAAGGAAAGCGCCAGATGGCTCAGGATTGATCTTCTCAGAGGACTAACGAAGATATGGAGGAGGGAATGCGAGGCTACGCCCGTTCAGCCCCCTCGGGGCCGTTTTTGCAGTATGTCGGCCGCCCTAAGTGAAGGCAGGCGCGACAGGCCCTCAGGGCCTCGATTTTCAGGGTACCCCGCAACTGGTGAAATTCAGACAGTTGCGC